ATAAGAATATGTAGGCATTCATATCGAGGAATGAAGAAGAAAGAAGAGAGTAAGAGATATGGAATGACACAGAAACAGTTGCGAGACCGAGTCAATAACTGAAGAAATGTTTTACTTCTTATCAGCAACTAGAAATGAGTTTAGAATAAATGACTAAATGAAAAAATAAACAATGGATATGAAAAGAAATTTATTATCAGCAGTTTTGAGGCTTAAAATAGGAATTAGCGATGACTCATGTGTTGTGAATGAACAGAACAAGAAAGAAACTTGAATGAAATAAAAGAGAGAAAAAGGCACAAAGATGTTCAATTTTATTTATTTTTAGACTCTCACGATTTTATTTGCTGGAATTCCTTCACATCCAAGTAGATCATCAGCAATCTGTTGCTGTTAATGTCAAATATTCTCTTTTGATTGTTTCGTGTGCTTTTTTCGGGTTCACATGTGTTTATCAATTAACTTCCACTGCAAATTTTTACTTCCACAGTGTGCCAACAGAACTTTTTGCATTTGTTCAAGAGCTATGCAGCAGATGATCGCCATAACAAGTAAACAACAAACCACAAAACTGATTGGCATACACCAAAAAATATTCATGTCGAAAGTCAAAAGAGACACCGAAAGAGGAAGGAAGAGAAACATGAAAGAACATTCCACAGCTACAAAATTTGATAATTGTACATGCAACGCATATGCTACACAAATATTCCATATCCATTCACTCGCACAACATTCTCGTCTAATTTTACATCTCAATTTTGTACTAAAATATTTCAATTTTCTATGCGGGATGCCTCAATTATTTCTAATTATTAATCTTCCACCTCCTTTGTCTGTGAGCATTAATGTGATTTTTAAGACTAGCTTGTTTAAGAGAAATTTCTTTTTCTTACCATTTGATTAATAAAAATTGTTAATCCACTTATGTATTGTTGGTGTTGCTGCTGTTATAAATTCTATGCACAGTGCAGTCTCAAGTTTAATTTATGACTTTTTTTTTCGCGCTCTCTTTCTTTCCACAGCTACTAATACTCACTACTTATAATATTATTAAAAATGACTATTAAAAAATTGTCTGTGTAGCTAATGCTTGTATTTTTATTATTACTATTATTATAGCTTTGCGAGCTGCAGCAACAGTGAACGAAAATTCCAATAACAAGCAGTGCCAGTGAAAGAGAAATTAAATTGAATTGCTGGCTTGATGATAATTTAACAGCAATTTTTAAGTGAAATTATTTCTCTTTTCAGTTCACTTCTTTTCACTTTTATTCGACGCCGAGAATTCGCATTTATTGCACAATAATAATTCCAATTAAAATGTTGCTTGTTAACTTTTTTATTGCATTTTTTTAAACTCACTCTTATCGATTTATTTTTAAATCTCTTTTGATTTCTATTTTTATTTTATGGACACACGAAAATTAACATTTCACTTTTTTTTTGTTATTTCTCACACCATTGGGAATTTTTCTTAGCTTTTTTCGGATAAAATTCCTCCAATCCAAATTGAATTGCACTTAAAAAATGATTATAAATTCATGATTTATTATTCACACAATGGATTTTTTTATTATTATTAATTTTTCAATTTTTCTCACTGTGAGACCAAAAACCATAAGCAGTTCTTCTTCTTCCGACAATTCTCTTCTCTTCCTCGTTCTTCACTGTTTTTTTTTTCTTTCTCTTTATGATTTATTCCGATATATTGTACATATGTTGGCTGTTTAGTTCTGTTTTTTTTTCAGTTGCGGGTATGAAAATAAAATTCCATATAAACAAGTATGCAGCATAGACAAAAAATTCGTTAAATATTTAAATCACATTCCAATCTCTTGTTTTTCAATTTTATAAATTGCGTAGCTTCGTATTCACATATCTCTCGGTGTTTTAATTCAATAGATTGTTATTTTTTTATATAAATTTTTTTTTAATTCTGTTAAGAAAAATTGAAACTTTTTTTTTTGTTTAAACGAGGAAACTCTTTGTTGTGTTTTTGTAGTCTTTTATGAGCAAATGTGTTTTTGCAGAGAAATTTTTCAGACATATGGGAATATTTTCTAAACAAAAAAATTGGACAATGAAACATTTTTGCTGAATGACTGCGAATAGATAAATTTTTTTCAAAAAATCGGAAGACAAAAGAGTAGAAAAAGCTGTTAAAATCATTGACCTGAATAGGAATTCGATTGGATCTTATTGTGGATTTTCAATATTTTATGAATATTTTAAATTGCTATCTTAATGAAACCAGAATAGCTCAAGTCGGTTATTCGAATAGATATCCAAAGCCAAGCTGGCATGACTCAGGCATGGTGCTTGGCTTAGAATTGAATCCATCGCTATATCTTTAGCATATAGCAGTCCTGAAACCTTTTTGCTTAGTAACTATCCCAAAACACTAAGAATTTCTATTAACCTTGAATCTTTGTGAACCAGAAGATTAAATTTTATTTCCCAAATCCGGGATGGTTTCTATAAGTCTTATACAGGTTTAGTAATCATAAATGTATCTTTGTATTAATTTGACAACGGTCTGAATTGTTTTGCAAATAATCTCAATTTTGAAACACAGTCAATTCGTTATTGACCTCTCAAATATATTAAGTGATAATATTTTCACCTTGGATTATTTAAAGTTTGGCAAAACATTCACGCTTTTAATTTTCAATATTTTTTGGATGGTTTTTAAAGTTTGATTGGAGCATTTTGAAGAATTTCTAATGCAAATCTCTTTTAATCTAATTCAGGGCTAAGTTTTTAAGGGCTAATTGAGATATCCAATTGCAATGCTGTATTATAATGCTTGAAAAGCTTAGCCTTCTGAGCTAGAATCCTTCTGAGAATCCAAACCACTTGCAAGCTCTGCACATTGCAAATATACGAGTACGTCCTAAGACTTGATGTACCTGGTCACAATTCGTATGCGCAATATAGAACTAGAGACCGGGTAGTACCAGAATAAGCTGCAGAATGTTATTAAGAAGGAATGCTTGTTTCGTTAATAAAATTGCAAATCTTCTCTAAATTTCATCTTAATCCTATTGGAATTTTTATCGATCAGCCACTGGCAATCCTTAAAATAACTTCACAAAATATCTCTTTTTAAAATATTCAAAAAAAAAAGAATTCCTAATTTTATTAAACGTTTACGCAAACACGACGTCAAAGCCATAAAAATAAACTAAATTATTCATACAGTAATTCCCAAGAAAATGATGCATATAAGTCTGTTAAATCTATAGACTGGCTATCACAAAAACTTCTATGACTCTGCACAAAATTGAAAAAAATTCCAAGAATTTCTTCATTTTACACATGCAACGAAATCACAATAAAAATGATTCAAAGTAAATTCAGGTTTCACATTTTTTTGCGTAACACAGCAGAATTAAATTTTAAATGCCGCTCATAACACCGCAGAGGTTTCCATATCTTAAAATATTTCAACTCACTTTATTCACTTTATTCCAATTCCAATTATCGAGAGTTTATTAATCCACAGAGAATGTAAACGACACGACAGAAATTTGCAAGTTACGATTAAAATCAATATTTAAAACAATTCTTATGCAAATAAATTAACCAATCACTAGGAATATCAATTCTTTTGTATATTTCTGTTAAATTTCAACACAATTTTTTAATAAATATTATTTCTTTAAATTCTCACAAATATTTGAACCACTTTACACAGTAGTGTAAAAAAATATTCCAGTCAATGCTGTTTTTGCGCCGTTGTATGTAAAATAAATTAGCAAATCACAAGATTATGTTCGCCAACGCGCAATAATTTATAAAAGAAAATAATAATAACAAATGTCGAGGTAGAATTTATTGAAAAAAACTTTTTAAATTTATTTTTTCAACGCAGCTTATGTAAACATATTGAATGATCGCGAGTGACTGAACGTGATCTCACTTGTGCTGTTTTTACTTTTGCTCTTTGAAATGTTGTTTTTATAGGAAATGAGAATAAGAAGAAAAGAATTTGAGAGAGAAACTGATCGTGTGACGTGTGAGCAACATGTGTTGTGTGGTGCGTTGACTTGGTGTGTGACAGAGATTTGTGATCAGTGGATTTATGTTTTGTCTTTATGCCGAATTGCACAAATCGGCTAATCGAACAGAAATCTGGCACCAAGCCGGTGTGACTCTGTCATGGTGCTGGATTTAAATCGAAAGCATCACAATGCCAAGGTCATGACTGTTTTGTGCCGGATTTGTATTCGACTAACCGACTTGTTCTATTCGGTTTAATGTCAAGTACTATGGGTACTCTATTTGAGTAACGAGAATTATTAAATACAAACACTCATTCAAATCGAGGACTATCATTAGCTGTATTTGTTTAAGATTATATCCAATCATACCAGAAAACTATGTTCTTAAACATAATAAAATTCAAATGATCTTTATAAAAAGAACAAATGGTATCTTTTAGTAATTATGCAGTAACTTACAAAATTTAAGGGACAAAGGGGGTTCTAAACTGATTGATGTAAGCATTACAAGTCGTTACAAAATTGCTTTAACTCTATTACAATTGAGGAACACTGGATCTAGAGCTTTAAACGAACAAAAGAAGACTTACGAAGGCGGTTCAAAAACTTAAAAAAATAAGCTGTTGATCGAGACAGGCTAATAATCTTTAAAGACTACAAAGTAATTAAGAAATCAAAGTATGCATCTAGTCCAATTTAACTGCACTTAATTTCTCAGATTTTTTGCAAGATCCTCAATCTTTACATAAAACTTCAACCAAATGCGTCCATTTAAAATTAAATTATTCTGAATTTTTAAACTAAATTCCAAAAACTTACCATAAACAGCCTCGACGCATTTAATTGCAACTAAATTCCAAAAACCTTTTCTTTTTTTTTTGTCTAAGGAAAAAATCACAAATTCCTCTTCATTTCAATAAAAGTAGTTCTATGAGCACAACAAAAAAATATATAATACATAAAATAAAATTCACACCACATCATTTTCCATACATGGATGCGTCTTGTACGAGTACATTAATGCACGGCGCAGATGTTGATGGTCGAAGACTTAAATCATTTGCCTCGAGTACGTCAATTTTGTTTGCATAATAGCGACGAAAAGCTTTCGAATCGAGTAGATTTTGTGGTGCAATTGCGATGAGTGTATTTGTCTGATTTTGTGGTCGGCAGCGTCGCATGCAAGGATGACAAAAAATAATTTAAAATCATGAATATGCAGAAAATTGTCGTCAATTTATAATTAAATTAATAATAAAAAAAAACACTTACGCTTGTTATTTCATAAAATTGCTTAATGGGATTATAAGTGATAAATTGATATCCAGTACTTTGTGCGGGAATAAAGTATCCACGAATTGTATACGACTGCTCATCATTAAGTTTTACCGATCCAATAGGCTTATTAAAATGTCGATAAACGATTCGTGATGCCAAAAATTCTTTTACCATTTTCTCGGCTGTCTCAAAACGCTCATCATTTACGATGATTTCTTCGCTGTGATGGCTCTGAAAATAAAGTAAAAATATTGAGTGTATATTGAGAGGAACGTAAGGTTGAATGAGACGAAAAGAATAATTTATAAGTATGTAGAATGTCCATAATTGAACTGAATGAAAATGGCAAAGAAGGTGAACAACAAGAATAAACGAACGCATGAACAGAAGAAAAAAAAATTGTTGTTGCCGAGTTTCAGTGAATGACAATTTTTTACACAGAATTATTTTTACATTATCTTTAGATCTCTTTGTGTATGCGAAGATGCTGAACTTGAAACATTTTTTTTTTTGTATTTTAATAATTTTTTGGGTATCATTATTTTTGCGTTGCTTATAATATCAATCATATACGCACGAATATGGTCGATTATTATGGATATTCAAAGTCTCTTTAATGAACCATAATAAAATTTTAATATGAATTGGAAGTTGATTGTCATGTCGCAAAAAAAGTATGTAAATGAAGCTTTTGTTTTTGATTTTTATGCTGTAATTGATTTCATGGTCAAAATTGCTGGAGAAAATCGAGGTTTTTTGTGCTAATTTTGAAGTGTTTTTGAGTCTTTATTTATACTTTTTGGCTTTGGTTTAATTGATTCTATCGACTGGTAAGGTCGTGGTGCCTAGGGCTCATTGCCTCGTAGAAGAACAAATACTATGTCTGTAGATCTACCATTAACTGCCATACTAATGTAAAGCAAGTCAGGTTCGATGGGAATCAAACCCACGACCTCAAAAGAGGTGATCTATGACCACACGATCAGAGATCCTTGCCACTCGGCCAACGAGGTATTAATCTCACTTCGGCTATCCGTCATATACATATAACCAGTTCAACGCGAGCCCTATGCTCCGGGCTATAAATACAGAATGTTCTTCGAGCCATATCTTCAATGTCTAGGAAACTTTTCGGAGTTTTTCGATTCTGGATAGGATTAATTTTTGAAACTTGCCTAAAATTTTAAGTTTTGGGCACTGCTGCATGATATATAGTGGTTTCTATAGTTCAAACTATTAAAGCCACTGCTAGACCCCTTTCTCTCTTCCTCCTTAGGTATTTAATGTTCTTTATAATGAGAAAAGTGCAAATAACAATCAATACCCCTCGCCTAATTTCTAACTCCTTACTTGTTCCTACTTGATTGCATTATGTCCTTCTAAACCCCCTCCTTAGCTACCCCACTGTTAAAACTTCCATACAAAATTCATCGATTATTCAAAGCAATTCAAAGCATTCCCAAAATATAAATTCTTTAAATATTTTTCTCAATTTAAGAAACTTGCTGTTAGTAACCCAAAAAAGTCAAGCACATCTCACACAAAAATACCAATTTTTATTTCCATCCAAAAAACAACCAACTATGGAGGAATCCACGAGCAGTAACTGAAATGATTTATTTATCATATTTATTACTCAAATAAAAAAAAAGTATGCGGCAAAAGAATCTAGACTTTCAAGAGAAGTTGAAAAAATTCTTTAAGTCAGTCGTCGACTTACTGTCTCGCTTTCCTTTTATGGTAAGCGAAAAAAAAAATATGAAAACAATGAAAATCACGAATTTTTGTCTGTATACGCTTGCCTTTTAGTTGTTGTTTGATAAAAAAAAATAAGAAAGCAAAAAAAAAGTATAAAGGAATTTGAAGAAGAATGAATAACTGATATTTTTCATCCATAAAAAAAGTTCTTAAAAGAATTTCGTTTTTTAACGTTAGCTCATTGAAAAATGTTGTCATGGTTGATTTGTTGTGCTGTCCATGAGAGTTTGGTTGATTAGATTGAGATGTTGGACTCTTTTCAAAAAAATGTTTAATATTTGAAATGTAAAATTTGTAAAAAATGTATTTTACAAAATTTAAAAATATTTTAATTTAAATTTAAAAAAACTAGAATTTAATAAAGTTTTAAAAAAATGAATTAAATTTTTTAAATCAAAAAAATTGAAATCATTTCCGAAAATTCATCAAACTCTCGACAAACCATCAAAAAAACTCAAATGCCTCCACAACTTCCATTTCAAATTAATTGACGCATTCAAAAACCTCACTTATTGGATAATAATTTAACGATTCCAAACAGTTATCGCTCGACCATAATCCAACACATTACTAACAAGCCTTTAGTATCGTCTATTAAAATTCACATAACAATCTCCGACTGCCAAAAAAAAAACCTCAAACCTAATCATTATATTCAATTATCAGCAATAAACATACAAAAGTAGATGGAAAGTATTACTCATTAAAATACGTAATTTCCAGCCATTTCCATTGTTGCTGATTCAATTAGAAACTTATTTTTTTATTCCAAAACAATCACATTATTAAAGCTGAAATATGCGTTGCTTTTGGCAAAAAAAAAAAATATCACAATTAACTTTTTTTATGTTTCCTTACTTCTTTACGAGTCTAGTCAATTGCTTTTGCTTTATGTCTAGCAAATAATAGTAAAAGAAAGATAAGTTAAAGTTTGGAAATATGGGAAATGACGTCCGATAATATCTATTCATTCAAAAAAAATTGTTTTTCATTAAAGTTCAATGGCATTGAAAGACATTTCGAACTGTCTTGTCAGATGTATCAAAAGTAATAAAGTGGTTATGGATATTTTACTTGAATGTGTTTAAAGCGCATTTTATAATGCAGTTGGATTTAATTTTTAAACTATGGACTTCTTTACTTATGGTTTGATGATTTCAGGCGCTTAGCCAGGCAGGGGGGGGGGGGGCAAGACCCCTTTCCCCTTTCTCACAAGACCCCTTTCCCTGAAGTTGGCACAAGATACTGACTCAATCAGATACAGATAGTGTTGCTACAGCTCTGTTTTATGCTGATAATCATAAACCATCATGTAAATAACCCCACAGTCAAATAGACAAAACAGCCCCGACACCATCCCACAAAATAAAGTTCCCAAAATATCACAAAAACAACTTTAAGTCAGCACAAAAAAGTTATAACAAACAAACAAATTCTTAAAGCAGGAAAAAAAACAACATCCAAAATTCAATAGGAAACAGCAGCTATTTAAAGTTATCAACTGCCATCAAGTTATTGCTGCATAATAAAAACAAATTGCGGGTTTCTTTTGTACTTACTTACTAGCTTACGTAATGACTCGTGACTCTCATTTATGGCATTCACAACAAATTCTGTGTCTTTTGCAAACATTTCATCATCGTCATACAAGCTGTGATTGCTACTGTCATCGAAGGGATTTGGCAAATTTGTCACATTAAAGACTGTCTCGGACGAGCGTTTGTGCTGCTCAAAAATGGAACTATATTCAGATGATGGAATGTTTGGTCGCAAAAGTTTCCATTTCTCAACATCGCCATCCTCTTCATCATCATCATCGTCCTCATCGCTGTATCCTTCCTTACGAACAACCGAACGCTTTATGTAAAATGATTTATCCGAATCAATTTTCTCATCAGTTCCAATTGTACAGCATTTTGTGCACCACACAATTGGCAGGAGGAAGAAGAAAATTGTATTTACGAAAATTTTCCAGCATCTAAATTTGTGTGTGTGTTTTTAAGGTTTTTTGGTATAAGAATAACAAGATGTAAATTTTTTTTCATTAAAATGAGATGTGAATACATTATGAAATGTTATGAGCTTTACCTTCCTGAGTCTCGATACGGCTTACATGATTGCACGTGGTTGAACTTCCAAATGTCGATTTGCCTGAAGCAACAACCTAATATTGCTTTGATGCATCCTATACATTTGTTGTGAAAGGAGATATTGCGGTGGGAATGGAAAGGTGAATGAAAAAAAAATGTTGAAAGGTTGAAAAGCTATAAATAAGTTATAGGGATGGGAAAATTGGGTTTATGGAGTTTATAGAAGGGAAGAATCAGCAAGGTTAGAGTCAGCAGATGATGCAGGACTCCAAACAATCGACAAGAAATTATCTAATTTACTAAGGGTTGAAAACAAAATGTTAAACCTAAAATTTCAGGATACGCTCCTATTTGTAGCAACTGGGACCCGAGCTAACCCTTGAATCTAGCCACAGACCTGACTAAGGAGGATTCTAAACAATTCCAAACGCTTATGCTGCTTATAACAATTTACAAAAATTCCAGACACATTAAGAGCCAGTTATGTAGGAAGGTGAAGGGAGGAGAAGCACGAGGTTGAGGATGTAACAGTTCAATGAGCAATTCCATTCCTCGTTAAGATTTCTGCAACTCTTAAAATCCCCTCAATCAAAAACTCTTTAATTACCATCATCAAAAGTCATTTCCAAACTGGGTCAAATTCGCGGATAATCAAAAAAAAAAAAGAAATGTTTTAAAATTTTGTTCTTCTTCCTTCCTCATTCATGAATATTTATCATGCTTAAATTAATGCCATGAATAATAACTAGAAGAATGAGCATAGAGATCTGTCTACTCATCCTCCATTCTTTATTGGTCTTTATCGCAAATTAAAGCACTTCTGATAAATTAATGCTAGCATGTTTAACCAATGACCTGAAGATAATTTGTTACTTCTTTTCTTGAAAATACATCACAGTAAGAAGAAGGTATGAAAAGTTTATCGAAGAATAACAAAAGAATTGCTTAATAGGATGTTCTTTTGAGAATATGAAGAAAATATCAAATAAATTTCTAAGCTTTTAATCTTAAATTGAAAATTCTTTGGCGAGGATTTTTGTCGATTTTTCTGAATGACTTTGATGAGTTGACTGACTGCGTTGGGGGGTTTGAGTGTGTCTGGACATTTTTGGTACCCGATTGAGTTTTTATGAGATAAAATTAATGATTCAATAATAAAAGCAGTCGTAATGTTTGTAGTCAGGAATTGGGGAGCTGGGGGAAGGGGCCCCCATATTTTATGAACCAAACCAAACCGGAAAGTTCTCAGGGGTCGTTCTTAAATGATGGCTTTTTATAATGAAAAGAGCTCTGAACATTCTGTGTTATCTAAACTATCTAGCCGTCACTTTCCTTCCCTTAACAATTTCCACTTTTCTTTTAAAAAAAACAGCCATCACTGTCGAACAACCCCTCATCAAAATTTCATAAAAACTATATAAACTTAATTTAATTCCCCAGAACTCACCCATCAACAAAACAATCAGCATAACCATAAACGGAAGCAGCATCAACAATTTCCTTGAAATCATTCCACTCAAAAATTCAACATCATCGTCAACGTCCTCATCATAATTCTTATCATCAACGAATCCAGCATAAATTTCATTTCTCGTTGACATCGTCTTGCACAAGTCCTTGGATTCAACAGTGAGAAAGTAATCAAAGCAGAAGCAAGAGCACATCCAAAGACATAAACATCGTTTGTTTCTTGGACTTATTTGGAAATCCCTCTGTGCCACAATGACATTGTCGTTTCGTCCGATAGCCATTATGTTGACTGCGAAGAGACAAAAACAAAAATGTTTGAGGATGAAGAACAGAAATGAGTATTTAATAATTTATCTTTAGAGACAAAATAAGAATGAGACTTACAACCACAAACAAGATAAGATGAAGAATTATTGATAAATAAATAAATAATGCAGTAAAAATGAAGAAATGGTTTGCTGAGAGAAAAATTTTTTGATGTTTTTTATGTGTGCGTGAAGGTTAAGGGAGGATTTTAGAATTGTGGGCTGAACATTTTGCACTTTTTCAACAATTCTTGCAAAATCTTTTAAATTTCAGCACAAAATTCCAAAGTTCTCACATCAAACCTCTAAAAATATCACCCAAAAAAAGTATTTTCAACAAAACCAAAAAGTCTGTCTAGCTTCTTCACAATCAATCATAATTAAAAAGCCATTGTACGCACCTTTGCACTTTTGGTCTTTATACTGTATCGTATAAAATGGTACAGCCATTGTTATGTTCACAACTTCAGACATCCCGGGTGGGAGCTCAAATGAATTTGAAATGTTTAAATGCTCAAGTATATCACAATGACTTAATGATAAATTGAAATATCTAGTAAAGTGATCCATACTAGTGATTTCAAATTGTGCAAACATGTTGATTCCATCGGATGTGTCGATATAAATGCTCGAGATTTTAACAAATGGTAAACGCTTATCGAGCATTTCGTTGTGTTGAAATGGAATCACGACATTTAGTCTCCATGCTATTGATATTAATGTAAGGGTTTTTTATGTTATATATATCGTCCAGATGGCATGTCACGAATGGAACCATGAAATAGAAAATAAAGTGAAAGAATTAGCAAATCGATTATATTTCAATTAAGCATGAAAATTGTTTACTTATCGCATCATTATCCCTCAAATTCAAGCAATTTCTATCAGCATTCAATGCTGTTGAACATTTTGTGATTACATTTTCATTAGTTGGCATTAAATCAGTCTCGCTGAGATTTATGATTGAACGCTTTTGCTTCTCATTGATGCCACAAAATGATTTTTTAATCTTCTCATCTAGATTTTCAATTTTATCGCCTTTTAAATCCATGATGGAATGCTCTTGCGGATCTTCGTGATTTGATGTAAGCAGTCTCATGTGACTTCTGTCAAAAAGCTCTGAATGATCACTTCGCTCATTAAGTTCGATTGAGAAGCTTTCGTTTTGGTAATTTTTGATTGTGTTTGATAATCTGGAAGGTAAGTTGATGGATGTAGAAGGTTTTAAGACATAAATCTTCACTTAGAGATGTATTCAGTGAAGCATAAGGAACTAAAGATAGAATATGAGAGCAATTGGCAGTCACCAGAGACCCGTGCCATCTACTATCAATTGTTTGTTGGTCCATGATGACTGTCAAGGTAGAGAAAAGCTATAGACAGAGGATTGTCTACTCAGCCCCTAATGAGAGAGTAGTATCGAGTCGGCTATACCCTCTCCAGTACCACAGATGCCATAAATGCATTAAATCCCATCCAAATAAATCAAATTAGCACTTACTCAACAGTTGGATGAATTTTCACCCAAGTTTCACCTTTCATTCGAAAAATTTGAATTTTCATCTCATTTCCATACATCGGTGAGTCGAGCTTATAAACTGAGTATCTATAAATAAAATCAATGAACTCAACTACACCAAAAAAATATTTAAATCAAATAAATTTCATTACTTTTGTGCTCGCAAACGTTCATTTGTTGAAGTAGTCTCATCAATATTTCTCCGAAATCTATTTAAATCTGCATTCTCATTCTCATTTTCATGCATATCATCGATGCTGCTTTCATTTTTAATCAATGTATTTATATCATCCTCAGTGGAATCAATTTCATTATTTTTATTGCTATTACTGTTGTACGGTTGATGATGATGACCAGCAGAAGATGCCATTGATACTATGATAGAGTAGAACAAGAAGAAGTTGGAATGGATGGAGAAAAAAAATCAATGAATGTATTCAGAAATGAGAATATATATATTTGAACTAGTCGAGATGAGGGTCAAGATTGTTTGGGAAAAAATGCATCACATAAAAATGTGTAAGGAAAGATTTGCACAAGTTCAGATCTAGTATGACATAAGAAGTGGTTTCTAGGGCTCAGCAGAGAACCTTAATCATAGTGAAAATTTATTTATTTCTCGTGATGAAGCCTTAGATGAAGCACATTAATTCAAGAGAAGAGTTGACCTAATAGCCCTATATCTTGGCTCCAGAGCTACGCTAAGACGTTTAGCTGCTAAAAATGATTCACAAGTAAGAGTTCGCCAAACCATACTGCTTATACTAAGATCTCCAGTTTAAATAAGGATCACTCTTTCGACTAAATTGCTGTCTGAAACCTACAAAAAAGGTTAAACGCTTCCCCGAGTAGCACAAGTCGGAAAATAGAGACCAAATCCTACAGAATGACGCCACGGCAACTTAGGGGCTTATCCGATTATTCGACTTGTGCTACTCGGTTTCATTTCCAAATGAAGATGGTTGAAAGCAGACTTACGCCACCTTATATTCGAAAAAATTCGAAATGTCTTCGAAATTAATGTCGAAAACTTCGAAATTTGAGACGAAAATTTGAATTTTTATTGACCGTTAAGAAAAATGTAAACAAATCAAAAAATTTAAAATCAAAATCAATGATTTAAGCTTTTTTTAACAATGATTTAACTAAATTAACATAATCTTAATTATGTTTCATCACTATTAAATAGTTCACATTAGAAAAAAGAGCTTCAATTAACAATTAATGAACAAATTTATAATTCGTGAAAAAATTCATTAACACATTTACAACTTTTGTTTACTTTTGATATTTTTGTTCTGAAAATTTTTAAAATCACCAATTCTTGCATTTACTTAAGCATTTTCAGTTCAAAAACATTAAAAATATGTCAAAGATTATTTATTTTAAAGAACTAAACAGTTAAAAGCTTCGAATTATGTTGAATAAAGTTTTTTTCCAACGGTTAAAAAAGATTCAAAATATTTAAAAAAAATCGGTAAAACTTCTGTAACTGACAATTTTTAACGTGACGTTAGTCTGGTTGAAAGCAGCAAGACAATACAGAGTTTCGAACTCAAGGCTGCTGTGTCAATTTCTTTAGAATGAGCTACTAAAGTTCATATCAATTACTCCACAGAGCCAACATTAGCAACAATCAAAACTATATTACACTACCTCACAAAAAACAAAATAAATACGAAAATAAGCTTACAATATGTGCTCACAAATATCATCAGCACCATATGCGATTCATAAAATTCATTTAGCATTTTGCTAATAAAATTACTTTCTATTATGATGAAACTCCATTATGTCGAATATGACATATAGGATTGTACATTCACTTACGATTCTCATTCATTTCTTCATTGTCTTTTGTTGCACTGAATATAGCCTCATCCTCATCATCATCATCATCATCTCCGCTATCATTTCTTTCATTCATAAATGCACTGCTAGCCTTTATCGATAAATCAATTGGAATCGTTCGATTGTCATCAAATGAAAATTTATAATTCATCGCCGTAGATTTATCGTTCTGAGATTTCGCAAAACTGCTTAATTGATTTTCATTCCGTTGACTATCAGCAGCTATATGATATAAAGTACGGAAAATATATTTAAAAAAAATTGTCAATTTATGTTACTAATTCTATCGATATTCGCTTGAATGGCAGGGATTATGAATATCAGCAAAAATCATTTTTAGAATGGAAATTCTCGTTGATAACTTGTGAAAGTGCTTACGAGGCAGTTTAATAGATTTTTGTTATTGAACGTTGAACGAGTGAGCGGCGGATTAATGAATATAAAAGTTTTTTTGATTGAATTTTATTGAAATGAAAGCTTAATCTACGAAAATTGATGTAAATAACGTCAATGTAAAAAGTTTCAACAAAGTTGAGTTGCAGTGATGAAAGTTTGTTGCTGTGCTGAGTTTGTTACTTGAAAACAATGTTGTTTTGGATCTTAATGGTCACAAATAGACTAATATTGAATTTTGTGAAACTTTTCAGCTTCGTTCATTTCTGATCAATGATCTGAATTTTTTAAAAACCGTTTACAATTTTTTCGTGATTTACAAAGAATTTTCGAATGCATTATTAAGCATTTAGTTTTGTTATGATTAGAAATCATTCTATGATATGCCAAGAGACGTTGTCAACTGTTGTCAACGTAAATTCGAAATAAATTCAAACTCGTTTCGAATGTTTTTCGAACAAAATTTCGCCATTTCGAAAAAAAAAATATGAAAATTTCAATTTTTATTTCATTCTTTTATGTTTTTTAACACTAATTTAATCGTTTAATCGGTGATAAATGCAGCAAACATTAGTTTAAAATGCTTTTTTTCAAAAAATATTCTAAATTTTTTGTTGTTGTTTACATTGGAAATAAAAATGTTATTAATTTACTTGCATTAATTGTTTAGTAAATCAGTAATGATTCATTACATTTGAGTGGATTCATTTAACATTTTGATGATGAAAAACAAATATTTAAACTATTAATTAAAGATATTAGACATTACTAATTTAACATGTAAAAAAATTTGAACTTATGCTCGAAAATAAGGTACCAAAAAGATTCAATATCAAAAATAAGGACTCGTTGGCGTACCATAGAAATCATTAATCAACAAACAAAATTAGTAAATTGAATGAATTATTTAAGATTCAGACTTTTCGAATTTTTCGAAAAAGAGGTTTTGAATTTCGAATTTCGCAAGGCAGACAGACAAATAAGCAATTTTTGAAAGTTTACTAAGAAACTTTAAAAGTCAAAATTCTTGAATTTCCATCTTCTGCATAAAACATCAATTGGGCCCCGACGAAAAAAAATTATTCGTAAGTGACGCTTTAAAATCTTAAATATCTCCGAAACCACAATAATCAGTTATTTTATCTTGTAGGAAACAAAAATTTCTATCTTTTGACATACAACTTACCTCCTAAAGTTAAGCAGTTATGTTGGAAAAACAATTTAATTAAGCGTCGCTCACGAATAATTTTTGGGAATTTTTCCACAACTTTGTCAGTTTTCATTGATATATCTTCAAATGTATTTTTTAGATCAGAAATTTTATTTTCTTTTGTTTGGTTTCAAAAAAGTAATAAATTGTCCCCGAAACATACTTCAATGAACAAAATTAAGTTTAAAAAATTTAAACGGTTTTAAATTTTTTGAATTTTTCTGTCGTGAGATGTTTGTTTACAAACAAAAATTGAAATGAAATTTAAAAAATCATGAAAATATCACTCAATAATCATGTTAAAGCTCTTAAAATAAACAGAATAGCTAATGTATCATCTACTTTTCGTAATCATATCATAATATTTGGGAAAAATGATTGAATAATTAAGATATTTGAGAATTTAATTTTTGATGTTTTGTAAGATAGTGTTAGTGAATTTCAAATTTAATTTTTCCGTTGAGGAATAATCTTAAAAAAATCGTCGAGGCCCAATTTAATTTCCATTAAAAATCTCATTAAAATTCTTTTCAAAATTAAGCACATTTAAAAAGAGTAAATTCACTTCCATGCATCAATTATAATCATCGACAAAGTCATGCATTACATCGAAATCATCTCATATTTAACTAAAAGCAGTATTTACATTCAACTTAACAGCATCCTCCATTTCATGATTTTAATTTCACTTCGTTAAAACATTTCAAATCCTTTAACATCAAAAGGAAATCAAATTCATGCAACCGGAAAGAGAAAATGTAGAGCGAACATGAAATAAACTAAATAACATGAAAAACAAAATAGTCTAGAAAAGCAACACAAAATGCAGAAGAAAAGAAACTTGTGAAAACAAGCACTTTTACTAAACACAAGCAAGTAAGGTATGACAAATGAGATTAGATTAACAAACTAGAGCGAAAAAGGAAGATAAATAAGCTTCAACTATAATGTTGTGCATAAATGTATGACAAATAATAATGAGATGGAATGGAGATAATAGAAATGGGTGGAAAGGATGAAAGAGAATTAATATCATTGGATTTTGCATGGCATTATGTCTTGGTCTTATAAATTTAATTACGGAATAAATGTGGTTTAATTAATCTAGAATATTAAACGTAGAAGATTCGTTTTGATCAGTTTATAGATACAGAGGATGTTTTGGTACAGTCCAGAATTTATCTGCTTAGTTTAAAATGACTTGAGTGTGAATTCACCGAGTTTGACTAAAGACAATAAGTTTATGGCTTTCCAAATGATTTTAAACTATTTCTTTAACCAAAAATTAGCATTAATGACTCAGATCTAACGGTGTTCTTACTTGAAGCTTCCTCTTTTCTTGCCAAACCTCTGATTTTAGCTTCGAGTGAACAAACCCGAATGGCACAAGTCGGTTAATCGAATAGAAATCTAGCTACGAGCCAGCCTGGATTCAATTTGAGTCCAGCACCATGCCAGACTCACTCCGGCTTGGTGTTAGATATCTGTTTGAATAACAGATTTGTGCTATAAGCGATAGTAACCTTAGCGAGACTAACTAGCAAATTGCTAGTATTTCTATTTTACTACTTGCAATTTACTAGTTATTATTAAAACAACTTACTATTAGTAAATTACACTTACTATTTAATAACAAATTACTAGCAAATTACCATGAGAAATGTTTGATCAAATCTGATTAAGTTTGAATCTTACGAAAAATCATCAAAACTAGTGTATCGGGTAGAAACCCAATGCGGATTATATTCACACCGTACTATCATAAGTCTTATGGATAGACCAAGATTTGCCCATCATAAGTATGAAGGTATGAAGCTTGATAAGTCAACTAAGCTTCGCTCAGCATAAGTTTGAAGATATGAAGCTAGAGAGGCAGCTGAGCTTCGCTCAGCATAAGTTTGAAGTTATAAAGCTATCGCGTAAGCTGAGCTACGCTCAGCATAAGTTTGAAGTTATGAAGCTAGAGAGGCAGCTGAGCTTCGCTCAGCATAAGTTTGAAGATATAAAGCAAGAGTGTCAGCTGAGCTACGCTCAGCATAAGTTTGAAGATATAAAGCTAGAGTGTCAGCTGAGCTACGCTCAGCATAAGTTTGAAGATATAAAGCTATCGAGTCAGCTGAGCTACGCTCAGCAAAAGTTTGAAGGTATAAAGCTTGACGAATATGCCAAATATTCTTTAAAAGTTTTTTAAAAAAAATTTTCATCCAAAGTTGAATTTTATAAAAATCACAGTCAACTTTTGTTTTAAAAAATTCGTAAGAAAGGAAAGTTTTTTGCCATTTCTGAAGCAACGGCTGTTCCTACCTTGCCCAAAAACAATACAGCTCTTCTATAGAGCAGCACGGATCAAATGTAAAATACTAGAAGTCTCTACGATGTCTCGTTATTGAGATTTCTTGCTGATTAACTTGCTTGCTTGCTTGCTTGTTTGCTTCCAGAAAGCGTATTTTGCGATTTTCTCAGCAATGCCACAACCAATTTGAAATCTGTTTTTTGAAAATGATGTAAAATTTCAGACACAAACTTTTCTTCTTGCCCTTTTATAACCAATTTTGCTTTGTTTTCTCACAAAATGCGAAAAACTGATTTTTCAATTTGAACAAAACCAATAGATTCACACGTGAAAACGGTGTGAATATAAAAAGAATTTTTTGCGTCATAAAAAGAATTTTTTGCGTCATAAAAAGAATTTTTTGCGTCATAAACAGAATTTTTTGCGTCATAAAAAGAATTTTTGCGTCATAAAAAGAATTTTTTGAGTCATGAAAAGAATTTTTTGCGTCATAAAAAGAATTTTTTGCGTCATAAAAAGAATTTTTTGCGTCATAAATAGAATTTTTTGCGTCATAAAAAGAATTTTTGCGTCATAAAAAGAATTTTTCGCGTCATAAAAAATTTTGTTCTAAATTTGGCATTTGCCATATACTTCACAAGAGCGCGCAGAAAACACCTTTATAACGTCGATCAAAATTTGTATGTGACTTTCAATTAATTATTTATCTTCCTCAGGTTTGCGTGCGAGTCATGGGCGTTCATCAGTATTCGACTTAATTAAATTAAGTCTTTTATTTTTTTCATAGTGTAAGTGTACTTTAATTAACTTTACTAAGTGCACACTAATACTTTTATAAGTTAGAAATCAACGGTTATATCCATTTAAATTTTTTACAAATTTGATAGTAAATTACTAGTTAAATTGTAAGCGAATTGACTAGTCAATTAGCAAGTGAAAATGGGGGTCTTTGGCGAAGATTTGAACTTGGATTTTGACTAGTAAATAGCAAGTAGCAAATGGCAAGTTATCCAGTAAATTACTAGTAAATTTCTTGCTTGTAAATTACACATCTGAAAGGCACAGAGTTGAATTATCGGGTTTGTAGCTATTGCAGTTTACAATTCAAGCACAAATCCCTGTCATGACAAAATGTATGATTTTACATTCTTTGTACCATACGAGGAAGATCAATTTGGTGATTTAACAATAATTAATCACCAAAGTTAACAAGAATCCCAAGAATCTACAGCTCAAAATGACTATTTTCCCATAAAACAAACCTTCATCACCAATAAACATCTTTCACAACTCTTTTATCAATTCCAACAACTTACCAAACTTTCCCGGTTCAATGTGCTTCTCTTGATTTCCAATTTTCACTCGTACATCTATCACATTTGGTACATAATCACTATTTTCATTCATTGATGATTTCATTGCTTGATCTCTCGTGTCATGACCCAACAAATCATCATAATGATGATGATTAATTACACCTGTCGTTCTAACATTTTCACCAAATTGACGCTGATTGATGGAAAATCCATTATTGGTCCTTGAATTGGGCGATTGTTGACTCACATAATTATAATTTTCAGAATTGCCATTCGCATTTTGGTCTGTGGTATTTGCCATTTCATTAGGAAAACCGCTGAATTTTAATTGATAATTATTTCTATTTGGATTGAAATGGTTGAAAGCAGGTACATGTGCAACATCATGCGATGAAAATGGCATTTTAAATTTGATTTCATGAGCTTTTAATTTCCCCTTGTTTTCATGCTGACGTTGCACATTTTCATCATTTTTCAAATTAACTTTCGGTTGCATTTTAGTAATATCATCATCATCCTCAAAATAAAGCAGTAAATCATGTTCATTTCGTACAGATGTTCCATTATCTCGAGGTACGAAGTTTTGAATGTCTTTTTTAATTGCAACTTCTTCCTCTTTTATGGCATTTAATAAATTATTATAGTTTTGTGCGGTTTGTTGGAAGAAATCTGTTGATTAATGTATGTTGCATATGTACGAGAGTATGAAATGAAAATGTCGGAGAAAGGAAATGAAAGAGAATTAAGGAGTGGAAAGAATTGTAGGAAATTATTACAGTAAATCGTTGGATGTAAACATTTTTGTGACGCATTTTAATGAGAAAGCTGCTAAATTGAATGTACTTTCAAAAATTTAGGGAGTAAGGAGGGATGTAAGGAGTTATGGGGATCGAAAACTCTAGCTACGGCATAGTCAAAGGGCTCAAAATCTAAGCTACGACATTGACAGCGTAGTCAAAGGGCTTGGAAACCTAGCAAATGATTGACAGCTTAGTCAAAGAGCTCGAAATCCTAGCTGCGGTATTGACCTAGCTACGGTTTGACTACTTTATGCATGACAAATGAAGAAGGACTAAAAATCATCAAATTTAATTATTTTTTTTTGATGGACGCAGTTTATAAAACAACTTCTCAAGAAGGTCAGTCAACCAATGTCAAAGAAAAACTTGCTAAGGGGCCGTCCACTTATTACGTTACACAAAAAAACTTTTTTCACCCCCCCCTCCCCCCCTTGTTACAATATGTTACAACTCACATATGTTACATACTTCTTGACACCCCCCCCCCCCCCCTATGTTACATTTTGTTACAATTTTTCAAACCCCTCCTTCCCCCTAAAATGCGAACGTAATAAGTGAACGGCCCCTAACTCGTAATCATTAAAATATCCACCACATAAAAATAATACGAGCAAAAAAATAAGAAATATTTTGACAGTTTAACATGAATTATGTTATTCGTACCTTCATTTAAATTTCCATCATGACCATGTTGATATGCTTCCCTCCTTTTCATGTCATTTCCACTACAAGACACGTCTACAATCTCCTCCAAATTTAATGGAAACGATGCAATAGTTTCACTAGCTGACACTCGAATAAGATATGGATGTAAAAGTGGCAAGTTTATTTGCTCTTTCAGGTCAAAGACTTCATCAATCAGCAGAAAAGTTTCACGTTTCTCGTTTGCATTCAACCATCCTCTTATTTCCACATGTGATATACATTTTGAATGTGATGTCGGGCATGGAACTAAAAGTGCTTTCAATATTTGATTATTCTTGTTTGAACATGAAATTTGAATTAAATTCCCATCGTAATTATTGCAGTTTGCTTGCATTGTAAAATAAAATGTTGAGAGTAAAATTGCCAATATCCACATTTTGATCCTTACTATCTGCGTCTATCTCGCTATGAATGATTTAAAATTGTTTGATGATGATTTTTTTTCGAATACTGTTTAATGTGAAATTTTCAGTTTTATGCTTGCTGTGATTGTTTTTGGATTTCAGTGATGATTTAAACTTTGATTGTTAAAAAGTTTTTAAATGAAAATTTTGAATGATTGGTTGAAACTTTACAAAAATATAAATGCACTCTGTTTAGAGGACTAAAGTTGCATACTCAATTTATAACAGATCAAGCGTTTTCTATTAAAACTTGATTTTTGGACTACATCCTAAGCTTTCTTTTTCGATACTTAAAGAACTGAATATTGAACTACTTGTTGAAGTGTCTGAGTAGATTGGAATCTTGGGTATCAAGCATTATATATGCGAATCTACCAGTACAAGATGTAGTCCTATGTGTCGCGATTGGTTAAGCAACAGACTGAATATCTGGAACCTTTTTTTGTAAGGATGTGGGTTCGATTCCCAAGCAGAGACCGATCTCTCAATCATTTTAATGGAATGTTGTTGATACCCAAATGGCACAAATCGGTTAATCGATCAGAAATCCAGCACTAAGGGATTTAAATCGAAGCTAGAACCATGCCAGAGTCATGCCAGCTTGGAGTTGTATTTCTATTTGATTAAACGACTTGTGCAATTCGGGATATGACAAGGATTCACACAATGCTGACGACATTAAACTTGTCATGATAAGGAACATCAAACTCGTGATCCTTTTGATTTCTTGTCCCTTACGCTCACCATTGAGCTATCAGTCATGTCTGTGAACGTTCTGTGGAATGCCAACTCAAACTATTCATTTTTTTTAAAGAGAGATGTCCGAGATTTTGTAATAGGTGAAACAAAGGAAATTTTTTCATACAAGTTTGGGGGACTTAAAAATCATTTATCGTCAGAGTAAGGAAGGGGCTGTTCACTTATTACGTAACGCGAAAAAATGACTTCTTAGACCCCCCCCCCCTCGTAACAAAATTTGTATGAAAAAAAAATTTCCTTGTTTGAATCGTAACAAAATCTTAGACCCCCCCCTCCCCCTAAAAGCGTTACGTAATAAGTGAATGGCCCCTAACGTAATAAATGATTTTTCCTTTATCATTAATGCTGCTTTACTTGGAAAGTTCAAACAATTTCCAAAGCACCAAAGCAAAATGCGAGAGCATGAAATATCTTTTTATATTGAGTGTCAAGGTTTGACAACCGCCAAACTTTTCCGTTCAGACAAAAAATCCCTTGAAAATTTTCTGGATACACTGTCTTCCCGTATAATGCACATAAAACGAATAAATTTGTTTAAAAAATTACAACCATGTGTGTTAAGCATATACACTCAACAAAGTACTTATCCTGCATTTCGCTTACATTTGCCAACAGTGTTGCACTTGATATTATCAAGTGTATAAAAGTAATTCCCGAAGGTAAATGAAAAAGTTTTTTAAATGTGATTTACACTTATGCAGAAATTGCATATAAAACAAATCCTTGTTAAGATTATTCACATTTCATCTTACATTTTCTCTCCATTTCAAACTTTTTCGTCATAAATTGTATTCGTGAGTAATGAGAAATATAAAAGGAAGGCAAAACTTTGCATTGACGCTTGCTGCGAGCGTTACGGGATGAAACTCTTCATTTTGAAGAAGGAAGAATAAAAGATGTTTAAAAGTTTTTTAATGAAATTTGCGTGTTTTCATCTAGTTGTGCAATGTTATTTGCCAGAGAAGTCTCATTCCGACAATTCCGAATGATTATCGTTAAGTGCAAGGAAGCTAAATCTACAGACGGAGGAGGTTTGAGTTCTTTAATAGGGGATGAAGTGTGGATGGAGTGGATTAAAGTAAGTTAATGTGTCAAGTTTAAAGTGTCAAAGTTTTATTTTCTCTGTTTTGTGCTTTGAGAACGCTACATCCAAACATAAAGGACAACCTAACACCATGCATTCCTTCCCAAAGACCAAACCACTGTGTTATAATTTTCTGCACTTCCTTTTCATTAAAGATTCACTTTTAAAAAGTTTTTAATATAAAATTTCATCATGTCGTGTCTATCATCTCCTGTTTCTCTTCATCATCATCTTCCAATGAAAAGTCATTCCATCTTAATGTTGTCAAAAATATCTCAGTCTCCCAGACAACAAAACAAAGTTTTATTTCATTAAAGAAATAATGAATTTGTTGAGGCGATACAACTTCCATTTGGGAGATTGATGCTGTCTCACAATATTGTCTTACTATCTAAATCTTCATGGAATCCTTGATTATGTAATGTCACAGAATTTCAAATGACAAGCTGTAAAAATATTTTGTTGCCTTTCAATTTTCCATCTTCCCTGTCGCATAAAATGCACTTTGAGACAGCAACAAAAGATAAATAAAAATCCATTCTCTACAGACCGAAACAGAAGCAAATGCATCGAATTATGGAACTTCAAAGATTTGCTAATGTTTTTCAATTTACAGCTGAGCTTCTTTTGCAATTTCATGTCAGTGCATTTTCTCTCTCCATTGCCGCTACTTTATCCATCTCATTTGTCAATACACTTAGCGACTTGCTTCGAGCGAATCAACAAAACGAGGAAGGAAAAGGATAAGTTTTTCATTTTATTTTGCTTTTTTTTATTCTCGTGAAACTTTGCCAATTGAGTGAAATAAGAGTGGAAACTTTGCAACTTGGGCGATTCTGGAGACGATTGTTGTGGATTAAAATTGGCTTTCAGTTTTGTGAGTAGTCAGCGGTTTGATAACGGAAAACTGAATTAAAGCATGGTGGAACAATACAACTTAATCGTCTCTACAAAAATTCACGAATAGCACGCAGGTTAAAAACTTTAAAAAAATGCGACCAGGTTGAGTCTGAGTTTGGATTTTGTCAAATCTAGCTAATTTCTTGTCTAGCTTGGTGCCACATTTTATAGGGTGTGTTGCATAGGATAGACAGAATAATTCTGCAGAATTCTGCTCAACAGTTGCGCAACAATTCTGCAGAATTATTCTGATAAATTCTGCAGAATAATTCTGATGACAACAGAATAATTCTGAAGATTAATTCTGATGAATGTTGCGTGACATGGATGTAGCAAAAAAAAAATCAACCAGAATAATTCTGAAGAACTTATTTTTATTCTCCTGAATTATTCTCCAGAATTTTTTTTTCAGAATTTCACAAACCAAATCAGAAACATGTTTTTCCAAATTATGCATAGTTAAAAGTTCTGAAAATAACTTTATGAAAATGTGATTAATGACTTAGTTCTTGCACAATTACAAATTAAAATGGAAATTAAAATAGGAGTACAACATTTTTCAGTATTTCACTAAGTTTGAAACAGAATTGATGAAGAATTGCTTTTGAAATTGCCAAATATTTTCCTTTTGCTCCTCTGGTTTGAGGCCTTGAATAGTTCGATATAATTATTCATTATTGAAACTTTAATCAAAGATTATATACAAAAGCGTATAAAATTCAGAGACCAAAATGAAAGAAAACTAGTGTATCGGGTAGAAACCCAATGCGGGTTATATTCACACCGTACCATCAAAAGTCTTATGGATAGACCATAATTTGAAAAGCATAAGTATGGAGGTATGAAGCTTGATAAGTCAACTGAGCTTCGCTCAGCAAAAGTTTTAAGTTAAAAAGCTAGCGAGTCAGCTGAGCTTCGCTCAGCATAAGTTTGAAGGTTTAAAGCTTAACGAAAATTCTTTAAAAGTTTTTTAAAAAAATTTTTCATCCAAAGTTTAATTTTTTAAAAATCACAGTGAACTTTTGTTTTTAAAAATTCGTAAGAAAGGAAAGTTTTTTGCTTTTTTTGAAGCAACGGCTGTTCCTACCTTGCCCAAAAACAATACAGCTCTTCTATAGAGCAGCACGGATCAAATGTTAAAACTAGAAGTCGATTTTCTCAGCAATGCCGTAACCAGTTTGAAATCTGTTTTTTGCAGAAGATGTAAAATTTCAGGCTCAAACTTTTCTTCTGGGACCTTTTATAACCGATTAACTTCGATTTTTGTTTTAATTCTCAAACTAATGAAGATATAAAAATTCTAAGTTTATGTTAATTTAAGTGGCAAAGTACTCTTACTAGATCACACATTAGATCTCTTAAAAGCTTTAAGCGTCTAGAGATATTTCCAAAAAACTGAAGGAGCTATTCCGAAATCGAGGATAATCCACTTTAGTGAAAGTAAAGTGTAAATCTATAATCACATTCTCATAAGTTATTTATCAGAACTTTTAATTATGCAGAATTTGGAAAAAAAATGTTTCTGATTTGTTTTGTGAAATTCTGAAAAAAAATTTGGAGAATACCTAATTCAGCAGAATAAAAATAAGTTCTTCAGAATTATTCTGGTTGATTTTTTTTTTTGCTACATCCATGTCACGCAACATTCATCAGAATTAATCTTCAAAATTATTCTGTTGTCATCAGAATTATTCTGCAGAATTTATCAGAATAATTCTGCAGAATTGTTGCGCAACTGTTGAGCAGAATTCTGCAGAATTATTCTGTCTATCCTATACAACAGATTCCATTTTATACATTCCGAATTCATAGTTGATGTTGAGTGCAATGGGGTCCGAACCGGTCTCTTAAAATTAGAAAAATTAAAGTGTATGAAAGAAATCAAAATCTCAGTTCGAGGTCACCTTTATCCTGATCAGTCGAGGCTTTGGGTTCAAGCCTCCATTCTCAAACTAGAGTTTTTCGGATCTGCCTCCTATCTTGGAGATTTTGAAAAAGTATTTTATTCTTGTCATTCCAAAGACTTCCCCACTTTAAGGAGAAAGAATAATGAAGCATGAATCTTTTCAATATCTTCCCGGAACACTTGCTATGGTGAAAAATTTATAGTGTACAAAAATTGAATTTTTTAGTTCCCAATTTTTCAATTTAACTTTTCAACAACATTAAAAATTCTTTTTCTCTCAATTGTCACTATAAACACAGAAAAATGAAAATTTTCGATTCACT